TGGGGATTTGGTGGCACCTTACAAATATATCAGGGGTAAGCATCAGGGGCTAGGTGAACAACTATTCACCGAAGTGCCCCAGGGGAAAACCAGGAGCAACAGTCACCTAGAAGAAGGTTTCAGAATGGATATAAGGAAAAACATCTTCATGGTTCGTGTGACCAGACTCTGGAATAGACTCCCAGCGGGGGTGCTGCAGGCATCTACCCTGGAGGTCGTCAAAAGGAAACTGGATGCACGCCTTGCTGGGGTTATTTGACCCCCACAATCTTTCCTGCCCAGAGCAGGGGGGCTGGACCCGATGATCTCATGAGGTCCCTTCCAGCCCTAAACTACTGTGAATCTGTGAACCTGTGGGTCCTGGCGCTGCCCTGGGACAGGGGGCTGCAGCCCCAGGGCTGCAGGGCAGGCGTAGGGCGTGAAACTCCCTCTGACCGGCTGGGAGCAACTTTTCCATCCTTGGGCTTGTCTCTGCCTCTTCCCACAGCAGCCAAGGTCCCCGGGCAGCCGGGCTGCCCTGCTCCAAGTGCACGGCTGGCCCGGCTGCTAATGAGACAGAGAAGTCCCGTTAATTATAGCGCGATCCCCAGGGCTCCTGCTGGGTGATGCCGTCCAGCTGTGCCCATCTGAGTAGCTCGTTAGGGTGGGGAAGGAGCTGCCAAGCTGGGGCTGGCCCAGCAGCTCTGGCTGTGCCGTGCAGGATGAGAGCAGAAGCCCACTGCAGTGGGGAAAGCACGTTGCAGAGCAGCCCAGTGAGACCCTCCCCAGCCCACAAGCACGTGCAGCACTGTGGCCAGACTGCCATGGTGTAGCCAGTCCCTGGCAGGGTTCAGCCCCAGGCCAGGGACGTGCAAGCACCTGGGGGGCTCCAGTATGGCGGGGAGAAGTGCAGGGGCTGGAACCAGCCCAGCATCCGTGTACCATCCTTGCACCTCTTCCCTGCTGAGCCCAGAGCCCCCCAGTACGGCGCCTGGTGCCTGAGGGGCTGGAGGCTCAGACAATGCAATAGCCTGCAAGTCTGGGGCACCTTCAGTCTTCAGTGCTGGCAGTTGCAAGGGACAGAGGAGCAGGGGAAAACCCAGGTTACTCCCTTCCAGTCTTGTTTTGTCGCCCGCCCGCCGTGTGACACAGGAGAAGATGAGCAAGAGGGACCTGGGGCCTGAGCCGGTCCATAGTAGCTCCTATGTTCTCATGAGACCCACACAGCCCTGCTAGCGCCCTAGGGCTGGGGACCAGGGTTCCCTGGGTGGAGGAGTTTGCTCACACAAAGCCCCTCAGGGTCAGCGCTAGGCCCAGCCAGCGTGGCAGCTCCCAGCACAGAGCTCCGCACTGGCACACAGCCATTTACCTCTGCTTTTTGCCACTATTCCTGGAGTCCTGCGTGGGCCAGTGCGACACGGCTCCACGGACACGGGCCAGTAGGAAAGCCCTGGGGCAGATCGCAGCCATGGTGCCAGAGGCAGCCAAGGCAGCTGGTGTCGCAGGAAGGAGCTGGCCAGCCTGAGCAGCCGCGTGCCCCTCTCAGCAAATGCCAGGATTTGTTCCCAGGCCGACATGGCTTCCTCGGCCATGGCAGGAGGAAGGTGGTGGTTTCGCTGAGGAGGGCTGATGCCTGTGTGGGACTATGCGATGGAGAGAGCGGGGCCAGCCTTGCACATGTGAGAGGGCCCCGCTGCAAGCAGATGAGGTCCAGGGTGAAGTGAGGAGGAAGCCTCAGCCTGAGGAGGAGGCTGCACAGGAGGCAGGCTCCCCAAAGCAGGGACGAGCTGAAGCCACCACGTGGCCCATCAATAGATCCACGGTGCATGAGGCAGAAGGGCTGTGAGCCCTCATCCTAGCACCTGCACTGTGCAGGCTGCGACGTGCTCCCCTCGCAGCGCTCTCCTTGGAGGGAGAAGGGGATTTCTCATTTTCCTTTGTGGAAAAATAATAATTTGCCAACTCTCTACCATAGTTCAGTACTTAGCTGTGACATCTGAAGACATTGATATAAACATTTCTCCCCTTGATAGTGTCCTGATAGAAAGGGGCCATGGCATCAGCATCAGCCAAGGAGGCTAGTTGCAGCCCTGTCCTGCCCACATGGCCTGCCTGGCAGCCTGGCTCCGGGTGCATGGCCTTGCGCTTGGCCCCACTGGAGTGCACTGTGTCTAACCCAGCCCCGTGCCCCCATGCCCCAGCCCTGCTCCTAGGCAGCCCATGCCCCCACTGCCATGAGCCAGCCCTGCCCTGCCCCCTGCAAGTGTGCCTGCGCTACAGGACCAAGTGCTGCTTCCCAGGCCCCCACCCTGCCTTCCTGCTGCTGGGCACTCTCCACCCTCCCCACACCTCTTCACTCCCCAGCCAAGGCCCCAGCCTCCTCCCAGCCCCAGCAGCCTCCTCAGGCTTCTCAGCCAGCCAGCCACTGCCCTTGACCCCAGCCCCGCACCCTGGCCCTCCAACCCTTGATCCAAGTGCAGCACCCGCTCTTCTGGGCCTGCACGGAGGCAGGTGGGAGCAGCGCGGCAGGTGCTATTCTTAGCGGACCGGGCCGGAGGGGCCCTGCATTTCTGGCCTGCTGGACACTGTTTATTTAGGGCCGGATGCGCTGGCCCCGTGTGTGTCGGCCCTAGCGTGGCAGTGGGGGCGTGCGAGGGGGCTGGAATGCGCTGGAGCTGCCAGCTCCCAGCCTGCTGCTCTCAGTCACAGGCCTGGGGGAGGGGGCCCATCCGCCTGTCCGTGAAAGCACATGCTCCAAGGTGCTACACGGGTGGGCCGCGGCCGCGGCATCGTGGCAGCCCGTGTGCGGCAGGCTCTGCCATGGGCTCTGTGCAATGGCCCTGGTCCTGTCAGGGTGTCAGGGAGGGGAGGACACAGTCAGGTCAGCTCAGCTCAGTTTGGGGGGCAGGAGCCTGTATGATGCCCAGAACTGCTGCCCCCCACCCCCATGGCAATGGTGCCCAGCTGTGGCTTCCTCTCCCCAGGGGTGGAAGGGGGAGCTGGGCACACACTTGCCTTGAGAGGAGTGTTTCTGCTTGCTTTTCTGGGGAAGATGCCCTGGTGTGGTATGGGCCAGACAGCTGGGGGATGCAGGTCAACCCAGGATCCAGAGCCCCTTGGCTGCCTCTTGGGAGCTCCCTGCCTCTGCCGAGGTTCAGGCTGGGCTCCAGCAGGGAAGGATGTGTGGGCTCTGCCCCTGGGGCACCGTCTCACCCTTCAGGGCACCACGGCCGTTCCAGGGTGCGCCGAGGCTCACAGGACGCATGAGCCACCAGGTCCCAGACCCTCTCTGCCCAGCGATGCCCCCAGGGGTCCTATCCTGGGGGCGGGTGCTGAGGACTGTTTCTATGACAACAGGCTGCACACCAGTTAAATCCAGGGAGCCTGGGGCACGCACAGGGGTCTGGGGTGCAGAGATGCAGTGAGGGGGGCTCGGGGGCTGAGCTGCAGGGCAGGGTGCAGGGTTGCAGGAAGCTAAGACACGGGCGAGGGGCTGAGATGCAGAAGCAGAGGTGCAAGGTTGTAGTGGGCTGAGCTGCAGGGGTGGCGGGTACTGAGATGGCGGGGGCAGAGGGCCTGGAGACGGAGCTGCGGGGATGGGGCAGAGGTTCTGGGTGCTGTGATGTGGAGGAAACAGATGTCTGAGGTGGGGGCGAGATGCAGGGGGGTGCAGGGAGTCTGTCGGGGGGGAAGACATGTGGGGTGCAGGCTGGTGCCATTTGGGGGGGGAGGTCCTGTGGGGG